GCTATGAGTAGAAACCAACTCCACAGCACTTAACAGCAACAGAACCTTTGGGTAATGATTTAATCCCTCTAAGTTTCAGAGCTCTTTCAGTAAAATAGGGATAAAATTCATTGTTTCAGACAATTAATGAGAGAATTAAATTATATAACAATGCATACAAAATATTATCCTCTGGTGACAGTTCATTGGTATTATTGGTATGATTATTAGTTTTGCTGTTGTTGTTAAGGACATGCCCTGAGTGAGCTGTACCAAATGCATTTGAATGAATGCCAATAGCCAAATTAGCAAATCTAACTGCTATAACTGAGATATTTTTAATGCTGAATGAGTACTTTCCATTTCTTTAGTAAATATGACCAAATGCCTTAGTGTTTATATATATTATTTAAATATTTACATTGGACAAATACAAGAGACAAATCAAAATCCATGCTTCTCCTTGAGGTAAATTGCGTAGAAATAGCCCATGTACAGAAAGCTACAGTCCATTTCCCTGTATTTACATATCACGTTATGCATTCTGAGGGCTTGAATCTTCCTTCCTTCTAAGTGGATTAGTTGCTGTTGTTGTTTAATGCCACTGAGTTGGTTCCAATTCATAGCAACCCAGTACAGCGTTTCTGAGAAGTGACTGGTGAGTTTGAATCACGAGTCTTGTGGTTCAAACTAACCTTGTGGTCCTGTGCTTATCCTCCAGTACCATATCAGGACTCCTCTAAATGGATTGTTGTTGTTATGTGCTGTTGAGTCGTACCGACTCATAGCAACTCTGTACAGGGTTTCTGAGGCTGTAAATCTTTACGGGAACAGAAAGCCTCATCTTTCTCCCGTGGAGTAGCTGGTAGTTTCAAACTCCTGACCTTGAGATTTGCAGCCAATTTGTAAACACTACACTACAAGAGCTCCTCTAAGTTGATACTGACTGCTTAATTAAAATCCACTTCAGAAGAAACATAGTTTCTTTGTTTGAATGTGAAACTGCTGTACCAGGCCTACATAAGAGAAGTCCTGGTGTGACACTGTGGAATAAAGCACTAGGCCACAAGGTTGGTTTGAACCATAAGGTTGGTGGTTCAAAC